TATTATTCAAACAAAAGCATCATTCCTCTGAGTCATCAGTGATTTGTTGTTATTATTCAAACAAAAGATCATTCTCTGAGTCATCAGTGATTTGTTGTTATTATTCAAACAAAAGCATCATTCTTCTGAGTCATCAATGATTTGTTGTTATTATTCACATGAAAGCATCATCTCATTTAAATTTCAATGAGTTATTTGAGATGTAATTTCGCAAAGTTTAATCTTTGGGTCTGTTGTCGTTAAGTCTTGCATCTTCTGCATTGTTGATTAATTTGATAGCATTTTTTAAAAACAAAATTTAAATATTAATTTGGTCTGATTCACTTTTTAAAAAATTAAATCATTTATGAAATATCTTATTTTTGTAATAATTCTCTTTAACTTTACTCGCATTCAATAGTTTATCTCTAATTAATTTTTAATTTAATTACTAATTAACTAATCACTAAAATGCGTGTATTTATTTATTCACTCCTAACTCAATGTATCTGTCAGTTCTAACCACCAAGTAATATAACATAAACACAGAATATTTAAGTATATTGTTATGAAATAATCATATTTCACTGTTCTTTCTCTTAAATACTTTTGATTGGAGAGATAAAACTGAATAAACTTTGATTGAATGTTTACAGGATGCTAATCGCACTTTACAAAAAACAAACAAACTATTTCCTAATTGGAGCTGTAACGACATGCTTAACCTATATGTTTGGTTCATATCGAATTACCGACCATTGGAAAATGTAATCCAGCAATGGGGATGCTTATAGCTGCCCCCCCCCCCCAGTGGCACAGCAGTATGACTGCGCACTTACAACGCTAGAAACGAGGTTTCGATACTCGCGGTGGGCAGAGCACAGGTAGCCCATTGTGAAGCTTTGTGCATAATTACAAACAAACCAGCTTATAGCTGGAGGAGGACATCACGGCCCTTTCCAAGCTGGCCACGTCTCCTGGTACAGTTAACAACATAATGAATAAGGATAGAAACAGGATTACAAGCCAGAAATTGCAAGTTTCCAACCAAGACCCGAAACCAATGACTTTTCATAAGAAATATGACCAGAGAAACTAGAACCACAGCAGTCACATATCTGCCAAGTCACCGGATGCAGCTCCATTGAATCATTGTGACTTTGGTCTGATTAAGCATACTTTGGAGAATCGACGTCAATAGTAAAAATATATGCCTAGATATATGGTCGATATCATTCGTAGAGCTTTAGAATGGAAATTACGATATCAGGAAATAGTATTTAATCATGAATTTCAAGCTGAACACCATCGACATTGGAAGAATTGGTTTCAAGAAACCTGGAACGTATTCTTGTAAAATGCCATCAACCTCAGTAGAATCTGCTGCAGATTTAGCTGGAGTTCTTTAAGATGGTTTTATGACCATGAATATGCTGTCTAGAATGTGTTAAGAAAATGGTGTTTATTACTGAAAACAAAGATGTCTAGCCATAATATACATCTATAAGTAAACGAAATAGGCTTAAAAAAGCATGCTTTTCAACCTCATTATGTCCTACTCTGAGGCTTAAAAAAGACATGCTTTTCAACCTCGTTGTGTCCAACTCTGAGGCTTGAAAAAGGTATGCCTTTCCATTTCGTTGTGTCCAACTCTGAGGCTTAAAAAGTTATGCTTTTCCATCTCGCCATCTCCTACTCAAAGGCTTAAAAAGGCATGCTTTTCAACTTCATTGTGTCAAACTCTGCTGATACCAAACATTGACCATTAACCATCTCTCAATCGTCCAAATATTCATGGTAATCGTGGTAGCTCATTTCTTACCAGTACTTCAAAACGAGAGCTTTTACTGTTTACCAATAAAATTTTTATTACCATATCACGATCAATATTTTATTTTATTTTTTGCGAACAATAAAACTCAGTAACATACTTTAAGTCAGTTACAAAGATCGGAACAAAGTTGTTGAAACAAAGTTTTCGCCTTTCTTTTAAGCAATTTCTACTATAATATCATTAAACAAAATTATCATGTTTTTTACCGGAGTAACTTTACTTGTAAGATTATATATAATATATATATTTTATGAAAACAACAGTGAAATTAAACTTTACGGTTACAAAATGAACATATTATCATGTTTTCGAACTTGATCACTTCAAATAGCGAAATCTATATAACTTGCATAAAAACCTATTATTACTGAAAGCAAATAAAGACACACGAGTTAAAAGAAACTACATCCTTTGGGTGAATATTATTAGCAGATACGTAAGTTCTTTGTTTTGGTCATTACATAGCTATATCTTGGATACATCTGCGTATAACTGACTAAGTTGGTTGACGCCTATATTATGTTTCGTTCCTCAATAGTAGTGTTGTTGTTGTTTTTTTTTCTTTTTGGTTAACCTATACACACTGTCATGTTTGTCAACTCTGGGATGTTCTGTCATTGCGCTCATTAGTCAACCAACCACATATAAGCTTATAATTCATTACAATATTATCAGGCAACGAGTGTTTGAAGCCCTCAACAGAAGAGACATGAATTTACTGCAAAATAACTTGATCCAAATTTATCTGTAGTAAAAGAAAGTACAGCAGTGAAACCCAAGACAAGGACTTGTTTTAACTGTCCGGTTATAAATCAGCTCATATTTTCAATGATCCTCACACATAACGATCTTACAAAAAAGGGTATAATAAAACATAAACCTTAATGAGATTGAATATTTTTCTCAATACTGTTATCAAAGTAGAAGATCACTTCTAACCAGTTATTAGCCAGACTTCAATTCTTATAGGTTACTAATAACGGTGATTTTGTGCTACAAATCATTGGTACGTGAAGAACAATTATTATGATACAAGGGGACAACCAGCTGTCAAAAACCCCTGCTTAATAGACTTACTGCTATAGACGTTCAGTTAGCTTTCACCATTAACTGGGAAATAAGTTGTAACGTTGTGATCGTTGCTAAGACTGTGGAAACTAAGCAAGCTCTGTGAAGTACGTAACAATGCAGCTAGCACACACATATATATATAACTTCTTAGGTTGTAACGTTGTGATTGTTGCTAAGATTGTGGAAACTAAGCAAGCTGTGAAGTACGTAACAATGCAGCTAGCATATATATATATATATTACTTCTTTATAGGTTGTAACGTTGTGATCGTTGCTAAGACTGTGGAACTAAGCAAGCTGTGAAGTACGTAACAATGCAGCTAGCATATATATATATATATATTACTTTATAGGTTGTAACGTTGTGATCGTTGCTAAGACTGTGGAACTA